TCTCTCTCTCTCTCTCTCTCTCTCACACACACACACACACACACACACACACACACACACACACAGTAGAGAGAGGGGCTGACACTGTGGGGATTGCTCTTGTGCAAGAGATTGTGTTCACCGAAGAGGAAAGTGCATTGAAAGTCCTCCTGGTATGGACTGAGGTTTGGTGCTGGATGCAGTCCCAACCCTCAATGCATGATTGATCGTACTTGTTAATATTTCTGCAGAAGTACCCTTTAGAGCCAGCCTGGCGCACGTGGGGCGAGGGGTGCTGGTCAGTCGTCATCCTCAGTTTCCACGGTTCCAGCTGGGCTGATGGAAGGGGCGAGCCCTTTGCAATCAAGGCAGGTTTCTGTTTTGATAGACTTTGGGATTTAACCCCTTAAGAGCCACAAAGGTGGCCCGTTTTGCAGGTGGATCAGGGCTGCGGGGTTGCTAAAAGCACTGTCTAAGGTCACACCTTTTCCTGTTACTCTCTGTGCCCCAGAACGAGCCACCCGTGTGTGTGATGGGAATATTTATTTAACCGCGCGCGTAACTTGTGGTTATTATTTGTACGGTGGCTATTTTGTTTAGAAAAGCAGAAAGCTGACAACTGCTCCCAATAAACACTTTTTGTTCTTTTGATTTGTTTCGTTCACTTGTTTAGTTCTTAACGTTTCTGGGCCGCTCCGCCTGTTACACCACGCCCCAGGCTGCTTCTCCGGATGATTCCCCGTGACGTACACATGCAGTGGTGTGCATTTAGCTTGTGGGTCAGGGGCCCCGATGCAACCAGAGCCTTCCATGCCATGGTCCAGTTCCAGATTTACACCCTAGGCCTGACTAACCACAGAAGCCACTTGGAGTTGTCTGCTTATTCCAGGTAGGAATTTGGCTTATGGGGGCCAACTGCTCGTTGCCTTCCACAGGCATTTATACCCATGCTCTGTGGGTGCACCAGGCCCCCATTCTCATCTGGGTGGGTTGGTTTTACAGCTCTGCCCTGCCATGACTGTCCCAGGCACACGGTCACGGTGAATTGACCCACGGCCTCTAGTTGAGTAAACTAGGACGGTTGCAGCCAGGGTGGTGGTTCTGTATTTGTGTTCTGACTATCCAGCCTAGTCATGGACCGGGAGCCCCGGGGGCGCTTGGAGCTGTACAGGCAGAGAACAAAAGACGGGCTCTGTCCCAAAGCGCTGACAGCCCAAGTGCAGTAGTTGGGGAACAAACCTCACCGTCCCTAAGCATGATCCCACCAGGCCAATGGAGATGCCCCAGGGCATCTCTGACAGGCTTCAGCAAACGCAATGCAGCTTGCAGGATTCCTGCCGGCGGGAACCTCGGCGGGAAAGGAACGAGAGGAGGAAGAGCCCAGCAGCCGTTAAAATGAGGGAGGAGTCTTGATTTCTTTTTTTAATGAGTAACGGTTCAGCTCCTTCCACTCCAAGGGGCCAAGGAATTGTTGCAGCCGGGCAGCGAGGGGGTAGGTTTATGCACCTAGGGAAGCCCCATCTTGGCCCTGGATCACTGGTAGAGGACGAGGCTGTCTTCCCCCAGGGGGTCACTGCCTGCCATCCCTTGTAATCGGGGGGGGAGCATCGTGTTCGCAGCAGGACCCTGTCCCTTGCGTCTCCAGGGAGGAGTCTCCCGAGGATGCGGCGACCCCTCCCTGCTGGCTCCGTGCTGTTACTCGCTTGTTTCTCTCAATGGGAGCTGGGCTGACAGCTGCGTGGGAGCCGCACTCATTCAGCGACGGCCAGGCTCCTCCGCTGGCAGCTATTAATAGCCGCTGCAGATTTTAATTGCTGCTGTGCGGCCGTTCGCGTGAGTCATCCCGCCTCCGGCGCCCGCACGGGGATTCGCAGAGAGGCGCTGAGCGGCCTGGCCAGCCCAGTCCACCAGGATCGGAGCTGGGGGCCCTCAGCAGCACAAGGCCTGCCTCCGCGCCCTCCCTCTAGTTCTTTCCCTGCTTCATTCATGCAGACACTAGAGCTGCCTCCTGCCGGATTGAGCTCAGGGCCATTTTAAAGTCTTTCTGAGCAGATTTCAAAAAAATCCCCCCCTGCAGAGGCAGTTTTACAGCCACCGGATCAGGGTGGTCCTGGGGGTAGAGCATTGGCCTTGGGCACCTGGGTTCCATTCCCAGCTCTGACACTGACCAGCTGGGTGACCTCAGGCAAGTCACCTCCCCTCCTGCTCTTTGTTTGGCTTGTTCATTGGGACTGCAAGTTGGAGACAGGGACCCTCTCAGTGTCTGGGCAGCACCCGGTAGGATGGGGCCCTGATCACAGACGCTCTATTGTCATTCATTCCGAACAATAATACCTGTAAAACTCTGGTTTGGCCAGGCAGCCCCCAGCAGCGTCTGGCTGAGAGCTCTGCTATGTTACCTGCAGTGGGTCATGCTGCCAGCTGTTACAATAGCCGGAAGAAGAGTTGCACTGGAGCAGGAGCTGTCATTGGAAATTGCCAGACTGTCTAGCCCTGGGCTGATCCGCACCCCGTGTCCTGTGGTGTAAATCTGGAGTAACTCCCTGAAGGCAGTGGGGTTACCGGGCTGGGGGAAGCTGGGGGCTCGGAATGTATCCAGTGCTCCGGTGACAGCAAAATGGGCCTGGTTGACTTGCGCAGGGGGTGGGGGTGGCAGCGGCGAGATGCAAGAGGCAGGGTGGTGCAGTGGCTGGGGCATTCACCCTAGGGCTTGGGAGACCCGAATGCAATTCCCTTGCTCCGCCACAGGCTTCCTGGGTGACCACGGGCAAGTCACTTAGTCTCTCTGGCCCTCGTTCCCCATCTTGAAAATGAGGATAATCGCACTGGCCAGCGCCGGGGGGGTTGGGATGATAAATTCGTTAAGGAGCGTGAGGCTTAGAAGGGACACAAGGGTCAGCGAGAGTAAACCATCCAGGACAGCCGGCTCCCCAGCCTCCTTTCGAGAACCGTCTCTTGAAGAGCTCCAGGGCAGATCGGTGTGATTGCCCCAAGACATGGCTTCTTCAGCTAGGGGTTGCAAGTGCTGGTCCAGTGGAGTTTACCCCAGCTGAGGATCTGGTCCCCGCAAAGGTCCCTCGGCGCCTGCTCCCATCTCATGTAAGCCAGTGGGACAGCGTGAGTGCGTGGGTTGCAGCGACTGACTCTGGGGTGGGTGAGCAGAGGGTCAGGCTGCGCAGGCAGGAGCATTGCACTTTTTGAGTCTGCGTGGCGGCCTACAAGGCCGGATAGGGAATTGGTGCCTGATCCGGATCTCCCTCCGGTGTCAATCAGGAGCAAATCCATTGAGGGCAATGGGGCTCCACAGGCGTGAATGGGACCTTGTCCAGACTAGCTGGTTTCAGCCATGGGGGCAGCCGCACCTGTGCAAATCCTCAGTGCTCAGGCGGACGGGTTCACCGCCGATCCCCCGTTTGCACTGGTGCCTAGCGGGGCTGGGCTCAGGTGAGTTGGTATAAATAACAACTTTGCCTGTTTGCATTGAAGCTGCTACAGTGACTGAAACTAGGGCAAATCCCTAGTGGAGATAAGGCCTTGGGGCGGGGGGATGGACCACCATGCCCCCCTCTCCCAACCTCACCTGCTCCAGGAATTTTGTCCCAAAAGACCGCTGCAGTTTGGTGCATTTCGATCTGTTTCATGATCTTATTAAGCCTTGAATGGCTCTTGGGGATCAGAGCTGGATACGAGGCAGCCTCCCAGCTCCGTGGCTGCCGCTGCTGAGCAGAACCGTGGCTGGGCCTGGGTGGCTTCTGCAGTAGCAGAGATTTCCCCGGGGCCGCCTCTCCCACCCGAGCTGGGATTTAACCTCCGGCAGGGCAGCAGCCATCAGGCTGGATTCGATTAGGGGCAGAGACGGGTCAGAAAACCATCACCCCATTGGTACCGTGTGCTGGCAATCTCAGCAGAGAGCCTGGGACGCATTAGGCCATGGAGACTGGAAAATCTTCTCCGAGGCAGAGACGGTGGGGGAGGCTGGGGGGAACTTGCTGCACAGCTGGGCCAGCTTTGGGGCGGCCAATCTTCCGGCTGCTAAGTTGGCTCCTTTCGGCAGCACTAACCCTTGTCCCTGAAGCTAAATGCAGACGGGGGGCAGACGGTTTCACTTGGACGACCTTGTTCAGATTGGAAGCTTTAGGGGCCAGCTTTGCCCTGTGTTTGTACAGCGCCTAGCACAGGGCGGTCCTAGTCCATGACTAATAATTAATAATCCCCTTGGTTTCTCGGATGGGCCTGCCAGCAAGGTTATGTCTTTAATACTCCCATCCAGTGAGAGGATGAAGGCCACCCAGTCATTTGTATGATGGTAACAGTTTCTATTAACCTTCCACCCGGGACGGGTTTGAAGCAGTGCCCAAGAGGCAAGATATTGCACCGGTATCCTATAAAGAAGTTCCTGGGCCAGGAGATCTCAAGGACCCAAGACAGTGATCTAGGGATGCCACTTGGCATAAATGGGGGTGGGGGGGTTCTGCAGTGACTTTGGACTGGGACCTCAGTGCAAGATCAGGCCAGCAAAGGGTAGAACTGGGGTTGTTCAATTAAAATCTGAAGATAATTGAGAGGCTGCACATTTTTCTAAAAAATATGACAGGAAATACTCTCTTATGCCATGTGCAATTAGCCGGTGGAACTCATTGCCACAAGATTGTGCTGAAGCCCGGAGTTTGGTAGGGTTTAAGAGGACATTTTGATGGAGAATGAGTTACAACACTAAGAGGTATTTGTTTAAAAAAAAAAAACTTGGAAGGACTCAACCCCCCCATCCCTCCCCACTTCAGGGCATGAGTCAGACACTAACTGCCCGAGTCGGAAAGAAACTCATTCTCTGAGGCCGAGTTGGACCTTGCTCTGAGATCTACTGCTGCAATCCCTTCTTAACTGTAACCCAGTAGCAGCTGTAAAGACCTCACGTGTAGAAAGAGACAGTCCCTGTCTAAAAAGTTTGTCTAAATGGACAAAAGGTAGAAGGAGAAACAGAGGCAGGAAGTGACTACCCCTGACCTGCTGACTGACTTTGGGACTAGAACTCAGGTCTCCTACCCACTAGGCCATACTGCCTCTCAGCAACTCTGCTCCCTGTAAAATGAGGCAGAGAACCCAACCCCTCCACAGCATCTGCAAACCTTTCTGCTCCTGGTGAGGCTTGTAGCGCACAGCCTGAGACACCACTAGTTTGTTGGTTGTCACCCACATGTCACATGAGGATACTTTCTCCAAGGTATCACCTGGGCTCTGTCAGGAGGGGCCAGATGTTGTGATGCTGTGAGACCTTGTTGGCCAAGTTCCAGCACCCAGCTGGCCAGGCATAATTTGCATATATTTACATACTTAAAGACCTACCCCCGTAATATTTGTGTGACCTTCCCCTGCAACATCATAGACGTTGACCTGTAGGTTATTAGGGGCAATACGCCAATACAGTCATAGGAGTATTGGGATCAAATATATCCGCCCAGCTCTATTGACGTGAGCAGCAGTGCATCTGTTGACACCAGCTGAGGACGGGCCCAACTCAAGCGGGCTGTCAGGAGAAACTTCCTAGCACTGACCTGCATTAGACTGTGCAATGACCCCCCAGGAGAAGTGGTGGGAAACCCAGTGCTTGGGACTTTTAAACCTAGTCTGGACAACCCGCTAGAAAGGGTGCTGGAGAGAGCCAGTCTGCAGTGGACCATGGAAAGAGAAACCAGAATCCCACTACTTGACTCTTCTCAGGGGCTTTTCCTGGGTAGATCTCAAAGCACTTCATGCAGGAAGCAAAGTGTCCTCTCCATTTTACAGGGAAACTGAGGCACGGGGCACTGATGGCTGGGACAGAATTCCTGCCTCCCTTTGACTCCTTTAAGAGTCCCGGCTAAAGTGACTCACCAAGGTCTGTGGCGCAGA